GCTTTCAGAATAAACCAACTTTTAAAGATAAAATATTCTGCGATCTTGACCGTAATTTTTATTTCAAAAACACTTTAATTAAGGGCACATTTGGAAAATACGTCGAAACGATCTAAATCTTTCTATAACTGCTAGTCCTTATAAAATTACATATACCTGTAAAATGCTTCAAAAAATTTGTCTCTAGAAGTGTGTAAACACCCTGATTTACTACTTTTAATGATGCTCCTTCGTTCAGTCGGAATATTTCGAGAGTGGTATCAAAGCACCTTTTTTCGACAAATGTTCTGATAGTTGCTCTTACTTAATTGGAGCCTTCTAAATTCAATGGCGTCCTCAGTTTTACCCTATTGGCTCCACTTTTCGAGATAGCGGTACTTGAAACTTTGCTTAAATTTTAACTATTTTATAAAAAAACTCCCTGAGTTTTAAAGATATTTTACTAAAATTTTGCAAGTAACCGTTTTTTTAATATTACCTTAACTATTCCATAAAATCATCCAAATTGGTTCACTAAAACATCTAGCTCCCATACAACTGATTGATCAGCGACGTTGTTTTGCGTTATAACTCCTCCAATTAAACAGGTTAAAATTTAGTATAGGTTCAATTTAACTATAGCACGCATACAATTTATTATTCAAATATGAAGTTAGAGTTATAGCGCAAAAACACATATCTGAGTAATCAGTTGTATTGGAGCTATATGTTAATGTGAACCTATTTCGATAATTTTAAGAAATAATTAAGGTAATATTAACTAAATAACTTCAAAACTGAGGGAGTTATTTATAAAATAGTTAAATTTTAATCAAATTTTCAAGTACCGTTATCTCGAGAACCGGAGCCAATCTGGTAAAACGTGGCATGCAATTGAATTTTGAACGTCCCAGTTAATTGAGTTCAACTTTCAAAAGCTTTGCTCAAACTTTACAACTTGAACAGCGTAATTTGAACCCAGCTTATTCTTTTGTTTTCTATTTCATGTTTATTCCTCGTCTAACTTTTGAAGCACTTTATGAAAATGAATTACACTTATATTAATCGATTTACTAAGATATTACGAATAAAATGATATACAAAACATAAGTGTGCTCACAAATTTAAAAATTAAAATTTTTGTTTTGGAAGTTTAACTATTTTTTAGATTTGCCCATATGCATACATAATTTTATTGTAAGGATGCCGATTAAAATTAATAAAACCCAATGCTTCTTGCACGACGGTCGATTTCTTCTGTCATGATTGAAGGTGCTGCCACATATTTTGTTGTCGCTTATGATTGTCACTGTGCTATGATTTTGTTAAAATTTTTTTAAAGTTGCTTACATAATTGCTATATATTTTGCTTCCATTTTTTTAAGATTCTCTAAGGTGTCTTCAAACTAAAAACAAAAGCACCAAAAACGCACCAAGCACCAAACTCAAAAAGTTTCGCGTTTTGAATACACACTAATTTGGTGCGAAAAGCATCGAGTTGGCAACAGTAAATGTAAACAAAAGTATTTTATGACCTCAGCCAGTGGGTGGATTCTTTCAAATCGACGAAGAGAGGGTTACCGGTCCGCGAATGGTGCGACCTTTATTTTCTGGATCGTGCTTTACCAGTTCAGCCTAAAAAGCGGGAATGAGATCTATGCATCATAATTATTACAGTTTTATTAGAGCCTTGAAGCTTTACGTTCAAATCATTGGCTGGCGCATATCCGTAAAAACCAACAATTTTGCAAGGCACGTACAAGCCTCAAACCTTCGTTTATTTAATGCCTGCGAAGATATGAGATTCATTATTTTTGAGAGCTACGCCCATTATATCACCAAGGGAGGCGAAGCCATGCTTTGCGCACAAAGCTTACCGATGAATGATGCAATAGAACTCAAGAATCGAATGTCTTATGTGGATTTTGTTGGTTACTGTCTGTATTTTTGGCTTTTCTGACCTGTTTTCTTGGGTCTGAGTAGATTTTGCTTTGATCTCCAATTTAAACGAAAAAAATAATTGTACTCCTACTAGTAATTGAGGAATTGAGCGGCCAATTAATAATGTGCCCAAATTATTTTGTTGCGTGCCATCAATGGTACGCGTGCCTTAGGTTCGTCAGCCCTGCCCTAGATAATAAATCAATGTTTTTTTTTTGTCCCGAGCAGGCAACCACCTTTTAAGATGCCCATACCGCAAGATTGGTCCGAACATCATCTAAACTATAAAAAGCGGCCGCCCATAGGCAGGCAATGGCAAACCTCCGAGTATATTTCAGCCATGAAAAGGCTTCTCGTAAAAACTATTTGACGTTCGGAGGCGACGTGAAACTATGGGTCCCTCCATTTGTGTAACAACATCAGGATAAAGACGACAAATTGGAGAAGCCGAGCGAAACACTAAGCATAAGTGTAAGCGCCAAATTAATATTATTATTATGTGTTAACATAAAGGAAATACAAAAAAAAACACTAATGTGAATAAGTAAAGTTTATTATGTCTCTTTTTTCATTTAGCCCGGTCAAGTTAAACATTCATGGTTACAATAATTCGCATAAAGCTGAAAATTGGTACGAATGTTGCAAATATTATTAAAAATTCTATTCAAGGTCAAAAGTCACATACATTTATTTTTGCATTTTTCAGCAAAATGGTACGGTTTATCACAAAACTAGGTAGGACAAAAGTGTAGACTATGCAATTATCTTTAAAAACTGTTATACAATTTTTGTTATGAGATATATGTAGCTATTCAAAAAATTGCATTTTCCATAATATGCACAATTTACACTGTACTTGTAGGGTATTCTGTTTTGGGGTGTTTTTAAACGTGGTTTTCCCCGGTAGGCCTACTCCACGCCTTATTGTAGTCCTGTTTAACTAAATAATATTGCATGAAATAAAAAGGTACCATTCATCTAATTGATAATTACACTAATTGACAAGAAATCCCACCTGTGGAACTACGCCCTCTCTTCTTATGCATGTAAAATTTTCTGCTGAATCTTAATATGAAGTCAAAATATCATAAACTATAATTGTTTTTGAGATATATCCACATTACGGTTTTTCGGAGATGTTAAAAAGTGCACCACTTAATTGCATATTTTTTTTATATAGCCGGCAAATATTAAATTTCTCTACAATAGTGAAGCTTATTAAATCTATTACCCTCTACGTAAACCATATTTTCCAACCGAATTAGTAGTTTAGGAGCAAATCATTGATTCATCAACAATTTTGAATAATAAAAAATATTTTAAAAATTACTGGGAACTTTTGAATTATTGTAAGCTTACCCCTATTTAGGGCCGTTTTCTCAAGTAACCTGCAACTTCAAAGCTCACTTTATATTTAAAGGCTGTATTAAAATTTATGATTGTGTCTAAAGTAAAGCACTTTATTATGAACAACCAACCAAACAAAAATTAAAAAAAAATGTGTTTTCTAAAATGTTAAAGCTGTTTTCGATATCCTTTTTTGTGCTGATTACGAATATGTAAGTATAAAGTTTCCAACAGCTTTAGATTTTGATAAAAACGTGGTCAAAATATCAAAAAATCGCGTTTTTTGAAATATTTGAAAAGCTCCAACAAAAATAATAAAAGGTGATAGAACCTTCCAATTGAGCTTGGATTAAAGCTAGGACTCTCGACTACTATCCCTGATAATACCATTCGTGCACATTGACGTCATGGTCACTTATAGTCATTTATTGAACAAAAAACTTCGATAAAATCAGTTTTTGCTATTCAACAAATGACTATAAGTGACCATCAAGTCAAGGTGCACGAATGGTATTTTCAGGGATAGTAGCCGAGAATTTTAACTTTAATTCAAGCCCAATTGGAAGGTTCTGTCACCTTTGTTTTTTTTTATTAGAGCTTCTCAAATATTGCAAAAAACGCGATTTTTTTATATTTTGACCACGTTTTTCTCAAAATCTAAAACTGATGGAAACTTTGTACTTACAGATTCGTAATCAGCACAAAAAAGGCTATCGAAAACAGCTTTAACATTTTAGGAAACAAAATTTTTTCAAATTTTCGTTGGCTTGTGTTATATTTGAATTAGTAAAAGTTACCACAGAAAAAAGCGCCCGACGGATTTTGCTCTCTGTTTTTGTAAAAGGTTAAGTGAGGTCCCCGGAAATAATAGCAACAGGAATCGGCGAAGGGAAGCCACTTGAGGGTTGAAATTGTTTCCAGGGTACCGTGATACTGTCGTAGCTCAAAAACGAAACCAAAACTCGAGAAAAACAGCTTGAAGTTTTGAATTTACATACTCCTATGGCAAAAATTAAAACATATTTTGTTCTAGTTGCTACTGGTTATCGGTACAGCTATGAAATTTTAACACAATATAGAAGGACACTTCTGCATACATACCACCTCGATTTTGTATTGTTTTGGATCATGACAATATCGAAGTAAATGAGCAACATATAAGTTTCCCTTGGAGTAAAAATTAAATTGCTTTTATTTTTTTAAACAAACAAAAGTACAAAAACATTTTCCTTAACCCTGAGATTTTTATGGGAAACCCGGAGCCTCGCGATTCTATCGGAAGCTTCTGAATCTCAGGGAGAAAAATTCATTCTGGGAGCATTGTTTTCCACTAAATGTTTTTCAAATACTAACTCACATTAATTACTTCATTGCCTTTGCAGGTTATGGAACATTGGTTAGGCTATGAAATTTCGCTACGCCTACTCATCTCAGCACTGCTGATTCCTTTAATTCTTCTCTCATGGATACCAAATCTGAAGTATCTGGCACCCGTCTCCATGGTGGCTAATTTGTTTATGGGTCTTGGATTGGGCATAACTTTCTATTATCTGGTTAGTGATTTGCCTCCGATAACAACCCGTGAGTTCGCGAAAGTCTCCACATTGCCAGCTTTCTTCGCCATCACCATATTCGCCATGGAGGCAATCGGTGTTGTAATGCCATTGGAGAATAACATGGAAAAACCACGTCACTTCCTCGGAATCTGCGGAGTGCTGAGTCAGGGCATGTCCGGTGTTACTTTGATCTACATGGCGCTCGGTTTTCTGGGCTACTTGCGTTATGGTACAAGTACAGAAGAAAGTATTACACTGAATTTGCCGGTGCATGAATGGTGAGTACAATATGCAGTGTTGCCAGAATTTTTCCAGAGAAAAGGCTAAACGGCCAAGAAAGCAAAGTTGAAAGAATTATAAATCAATAATTGATTTCTAGCAAAAATACATAAACCAACAATCTGAAGCCATAAACTAACAATTTATATATTTATATATATTATATTTTTTATATATTTATATATATATTATATTTTTTAGCCTTTATAATGATTTTCTAACAGTACCAGTGTTTAAAGAGCATTAGTTGATACTTCACCATTTAAAAACTACTTTTGTTATTTCCACAACAATTTTTTAATTACAATCAAAAATTGCAAAAAACTACCTAGTGATACCTTTTTGTAAATAACAATATATTTTGCACTTATGAAAATATTTTTCGATAAAAAGCAATTTGTACAAATATTCCCTTAACCACCTACTAGAGTTGTCAAACTCGATAGTATCGATAGTTTTTTATTCCCATTACCATCGATATTTTTTATCCACTATCGATGGTTTTTCCCTGCTAAGCATATTACGCATTTCCTACCATACAAAGTATATATGTATGTATGTCAGAAAATTTTTGTAAGGGAAGGAAAAGAAATTGTTTAAAATCAACCGGATTTTTCGGTTTTGGTGTTTGCATACCAAACATTTTTCTAGAACTCCTAATTAAAATGCTGAACATTTGATTAAACTGTTGATTTTTCTAATTTTTTTTGCAAAGATTTAAATTTGGATTATTGCGGTTTATAAATGGGATGTATCCTCATTTAAGCCCACTGTATCTGTAGATGACATCCTGGCTTATGTTTCGTAACATGCGGATATTGATAAGAAAATTCTTTCTTGCTTTAAGCTTGTGAAAAAAGATGCTAATATGGTTGATCTTAAGAAAATAAATTTTAAATTAGGAGTTTCGGACTCATATTACGATAAGGTTATTAATGCGAATATCTGGCCAGTCAATGTAAAGGTTCGACCGTTCCGTTTTTTTCCAAAAGACGGTGTAACTCATCAAGACCCTTAACAGCATTTAATGATATTGAAGTTTGTTCTACGCCTCTTAGAGTCTACTACCAAAACGTTTCTGGGCTTAGGACTAAATCTAAGTCCCTGTATGAATTAAGTTCACATTTGGACTATGACGTTTTTGTCCTCGTTGAGACCTGGCTAACTCCTGATTTTTACGACAACGAATTTTTCGATCCAAATCTCTACAACGTCTATCGTAAAGATAGAGATTCGCTTAAAACTGGACTCTCCAGAGGGGGAGGTCTATTAATTGCTGTTCATAGAAAATATCGTTCGTCGATTCTTTTGTTGCATGATGGAGACTCGCTTTTGGATCAACTATCTGTGTCCGTGACTGGTACTTCGACACTCATATTTTGTGCATCATATATTCCTCCAAGTAGCTCCGACACTTTGTACAAATCGCATATTGATAATATTGTAGATTTAGTATCTAAGCGGTCTAGTTGCAATTTTTGTATTCTTGGTGACTTTAATCTTTGTAATGTTGGCTGGACGACTATGGACGATAGTTTGGCTTTATTTCCCAATAATGTTAGCAGTTTCTCTGAAACATATGTTGTTGACAATCTACTAAGCTTAAATCTCAGTCAGATAAATAACCTCAAAAATAAACATGCCAGAATTCTTGACCTAGTATTTATAAGTGAATATTTGAACTTTTCCTTAGATGAATGCCTCGGTCCTCTGTCGTGTTCGGGTTTACACCATGTTCCTCTGGTCCTCCAACTGGAGTTTTACGAATTCAAAAATCTTAAATCAGATACCTATTCTTCGAATTATAGTTTTAGGAACTGTAGCTTTGAAGCAGTTAGTAATGAAATTTCTAGGGTAGACTGGGACACCGTTTTTGTAGGGGCCGACGTTGCCGATTGTTTCATTTCTTTCAGAAATAAAATTAATGAAATCTGCAGGAGTTATATCCCGCTAAAGAAAAAGAACTGCCATAAGATTCCATGGTTTACTAAGGAATTGAAGAAAATTAAGAACTTAAGGAACCGATTTTTTAGAAAATATAAGTGTTCTAATTTGCCGCAACACAAGGAAAATTATCTGTGCTATGCGAATAAATTTAAATCTCTGAGTAAGACCCTACATAGAAATTATATTGCTAGATTTGAACGAGACATCAAACTGAACCCTAAAGCTTTTTGGAGCTATGTCAAGTCAAAGAAAACGTGTTCAAGTATTCCGTCACAAGCACAAATGCATTTTTCAGCATGCAAGGGCAACTTTTTTTGTAAGAAATGAAATCACCATTAGAATATTTTTGAAAGGTTTAAAAAGGGTCTCCACCTGTTTAAAAAGCAAAATTTAAATTTTTTAATAAGTTAATTGGAATATTAAAATATTGGTATCAATCTAGATGGGCTTGACAAGGCTTTATTTCTGAACTATATTTGGAGGGTTGCCACATAATCGAAAAATCAAATTCAACATATTTCATCATTTAATTAAAATATGTATCATAATGTCAGATTTAGAATGTTTGAAGAGGANTTCGAAAAATTTTAATTAAAATATGTATCATAATGTCAGATTTAGAATGTTTGAAGAGGAAATGGGTTTGAAAAGGCTTTATTTCTGAAATTTATTTAGCAGGGTTGCCAACTGTTTAATAAATCCAACTCAACTTAAATTAAGGCGATAAGATAATTGAAATATATATATATCACAATCTGACTGTCAGTCGGAAGAGATTGAAGAAGATTTTAGTTTAAAAATATTTTGAAAAGAATTACCACCTATTTGAAATGTCGAATGTAGTGAATATATTTAAATTCGAAATACTAAAATATTGGTGTCAAACGAAAGAGCGTTAAGAAATCTTTAGTTTGAACACCAAAAATATTTTTGCCACATGTTTGAATATTAAATTCAACTTAGCTCATTAGTTATTTAAAATATTTATCACAATATCAGGCGAAGCAAATAAGGAACTGTTTAGCTTGAATATATATTTGAAGAGAATCGCCACGCATTTAAAAACTCAAATGTAATTAATTTTTATACAAATTAAATCAAATATTAAAGTACGGTTGTCATATGAAAAAGTTTAGTTTGAACATTTATAATGTTTGAAGAGGATTGACACATGTTTAAAAAGATAAGTTCAAATTATTTAGAAAGTTAGATGAATTTCTAAAATAAAAAAATAAACAAAAAAAACACGTTCAACTTAATTCATCATTTAATGGAAATATGGACCATAATGTTAGACGAAAGATATTTAAGAAGATTTTAGTTTGAAAATACTTTTGAAAAGGATTTCCAACTATTTGAATAGTCGAACTTAGTTAACTATACGCTAGTTGTATAAAATATTGAAATATCAGTGTCAATCGAAAGACTTTTATAAAAAATTTAGTTTGAAAATATCTTTGATTAGGCCTGCCACCTTTTCGAAAAGTCATACCGATCTAACTACATAAGTATATATTATGTATATTAACCCATTACCGCTCACTGTCCCCATACGAGGACACCTCTTCATATAGCGACATCTTTGTCTTAAACATCGACAACTGATAATAGTATTTCAATTATGACGTATAGATGGCTTAGATATATGTAAACAAAAACATGGTTCTTGTGTCAAAAAAAACCTAGTTTCAAGCGCTTCAAAGTTAGACATTTCCCTGAGCCAATTCATTTGGAGTATTTATATATATTTTTTGGGTATATTGTTAGTCTAAAATTAAATATTTTGGCTGAAATATTAGGTGGAGTGTGCCCAAGCTTTTAGAAGTGGTATTGTGTTGAAAGGATCAAAAAAAGATTAAAAAGGTATAGTTTTATAGTGATGTCCCCACTTGGGGACAATGGGCATAAACATTAACTGTTTCCAACATTTAACAGGTGCTTTCGATTGCAGAACTATGGCACACCGTAAAATTTTTAAGGGTCAAAAAGACTTTTTACCACTACAGGAGGCCGTCGATTGGATAATGGAGAACGAAGACAATGACTCTGAATATGATATATTAGTCATTCCTCCTGATCCTGCGATTGTAAGTGATGAAGAGGAGGTAAATGAAGATGATTTGGTATGCACCACAATGCCGAATTATGTAACTGGAAAAATTTAGGTTGTTTCACGTCGACAAGATGATACAGATTGGGATGAAAGGGGTGATGAGCCACTTTCATGCTTTGCGAAGCGTAAAAGGGTCGATCAAGGTAATTTCCGAGAACCATTTTGGAGACGGGTTTCACCAACCTATAGCACGACATATCACTCCAATGATGCAGTTCAAAAACCAGTACATAACTTTGGATTTGTTTGAAAAAATTATTGATATCGATGTTCTTACAATGGTTGTTGAAAATAGAGTTTTATGCGCTAATCAAAATAATAGACACAATTTTGAGTTAAACACCGAAGAAGTAAAAAGATTTTAAGGAATTTACTGTTAAGTGATTACCACCAACTATCCACGGAGCGGGCTTACTGGAGTGTAGATGACGACCTTAAATTTAGGTTGTTTCACGTCGACAAGATGATACAGATTGGGATGAAAGTGATGATGAGCCACTTTCCGCGTTCCGATGGTTGCAAATGTGATGAGTCGAAATAGGTTCTTAGAAATCAAGAGAAGTCTGCACTTTGTCGATAACAGTCTAATCACAAGTTCAACTGATAAAATGTTCAAGTTAAGACCTTTATGCAATCTCGTTCAGAGAAACTCTTGCTAATGGGGCGTTCTTCACGAAATACTATCTGTGGATGAATGCATGACAAAATACTTTGGCCGACATCCAGCGAAGCAATTTATAATGGGAAAACCGGTTAGATTCGGTTATCGGAATTGGGCAGCAACGAGCTCAAATGGATATTGTTATGGTTTCGACGTGTACTGTGGTAAGTCAACTGCGGTAATTAAAGATCCACTTGGCGAACGAGTTGTCAAGTCGTTGCTAGTAAAACTACCTATAGTACCAACGGAACATATCGTATACTTTAATAATTTTTTTACGAACTATCACTTGTTGTGTGATGTAAAGCGATTGGGCTATAGATCTACTGGCACAATACGAGATAACAGAACAAAAAAGTGCCCACTTATATCCGTAAAAGAAATGAAGAAAACGAGTTCTAGAGCTGAATATGATTATCGCTTTGACAAAAGTAACGAGATTACAGTGGAAGGACAATAATGTTGTCACAATGGGAACGAATTTTGATTATATAGAGCCCTTAGGAAAAGTGCGACGTTGGTGTAATATTCGAAAGTAAAAGGCCAATTTCGATATACCAAGACTTTTCATAAATTATAACCAAGGTATGGGAGGTGTGGACCAAATGGACCAATCTATTAGTCTATATAGGGTGTCCATTAGAGAAAAAAAGTGGTGGTGGCCAATCTTTACATACTGTCTGGATTTAGCAGTCAGTAATGCTTGGAGGCTACACGTTTTACTATGCAAAACCGAAAATAAATCCCCAATGGATCAATTGTCATTCAGACGGCACATTGTGCGAACGTATCTAAAACGTACTTCATCCCGACAGCCTCGTCCTTCTTCCGTAGTAGTTGAAGCTGTATCGAAAAACAACGGTCACAATCCTGAACGCTTGACGAACCAATTGCGGTGTGTAGTGCCGCTGGAGATGTGAATTGTGCACAAAAACACTTTGCGTTGAACGTAACTGCTTTGCTAAATTTCATACTTAAACTGCCCATTGTCCCCAGGTGAGGACACCCCTTTTTCGCGAAATTTACAAAAAAAATTATAATTTTTCTTTTTAACTTCTTATTTGACCAAGAATGAATAAATAAATGACAATGAAAACAAATTTTTACTAGCAGATTTGATTTGGGCGTTAATTGGTTAAACGAGAAGGAATTTTTTGTGAGGGTCATTAGATTTGCACCGTTCTTTCGAATTTCAAATATGAGAGGATGAAGTAACGACCTTGCCTGTAGAAATGAGACAAGATAGTAAAGTTAGAACTTTTTTATCGGTACAGAGTGATTTGAAATTTGATGATATTAAAAACCGACACTATGCGAGACCTTTATTCACTCAGAAAGGGCTGCACGGAAATGTGGCACTAGGATCGGGTATAATTCTGACTAACATTTGGAATAGTTTCTAGGTTTTTAATTTAAAATTTTTTGGCGTTTTTACGCCATGCGGGTTCACTAGTTTATATTAAAATACAGTGCATATCAACGAAAATCCAACAAATACTTGAAATTTCCATAAAAAAATTTTTGATTTAATTTCGATAGTACTATCCATAGTATCGATAGTGAGAACTGAAACTATCAAAATCAATTAACAAATTTAAAGATATTTTGGGACATTAGTATTTATATACATACATGTTTTTACTAAACAAAAAAGTACAGGAAAGATTCAACTTATTGTTTTTTAAACTTAAATCTCTTCTTCAATCATCTTGTTTAGCCTTTAAAACTATATCCCTTTGTAAATGAGATCAAACATAAAAGGAAACGTAACACATCAACAATTTCTTATTAATTTTGGATAATTCAATATTTAAAAATGCTGAAATAATATGAATATCTCAAAAAATCAAAAATTTAAATTAGGCAAAATTGCAAACCTTAAACTTACAGTTTTTCGCTCTAGGCAAATTGATTTCTTACATTCAAAACATACTAGTAAACCCACTTGGCGTTAAAATACAAAAATTGAGTTTAAAAGATAAAATCCTATTCAAAAACCTCAAAAAAACATTTTCCTAATCATGCACTGTTAGGGTTCGAACGATACTATTGATATTAAGTNATATCCCTTTGTAAATGAGATCAAACATAAAAGGAAACGTAACACATCAACAATTTCTTATTAATTTTGGATAATTCAATATTTAAAAATGCTGAAATAATATGAATATCTCAAAAAATCAAAAATTTAAATTAGGCAAAATTGCAAACCTTAAACTTACAGTTTTTCGCTCTAGGCAAATTGATTTCTTACATTCAAAACATACTAGTAAACCCACTTGGCGTTAAAATACCAAAATTGAGTTTAAAAGATAAAATCCTATTCAAAAACCTCAAAAAAACATTTTCCTAATCATGCACTATTAGGGTTCGAACGATACTATT